GAGGGGAGGGGAGGGGAGGGGAATAAGGGAGGGGACGGGGCAGCACTTCATTAGTGGTGGAGAGCTGCCGGAGCGCAAGCAATATTTTTCCTTTCATAACTGACGGGCCAAGCCCAGCGGGGCCGGGGTTAGGAAGTGACAAGCCCAGAGAGGCCGGGCTCAGCCCTGCCCCAAATTAAGCCCTGGAGGGGTGACAGGAGAGAGCGGGGGGGGGGCAGAGAGGAGGGGAGGGCACCTGAGGATGCAGGTTGAGGGGAGCCCTCCCCCCCATCCCTGAGCATTGCCCCAGCCCGGCCCCACTCACCAGCTGCGGCAGTGAAAGCGAAAGTGCTTGAGGAGGAGGGAGGAGGGACAAAGGTCACCCCTCCACCCCCACCCCGGGCTCCAGCCCTCCCTTAGCCTAGGACTGCTGCGGAGCGTCCACACGGCGCAGGGGAGGCCAGAGCCAGACAGTCTGCGTGTGGAGGCTCATGGGGGAGCTGGGCAGGGAGTGGCACAAGGAACATGGGGGAAAAGGGGGGATACGGGGCGAAAGCAACCTGGCTTTTCCCCCTAGATCAGGCCTCTGCTTTGATTCTGTCACCCGGGAGGGGTCCCAGCCCCCCCATCCTAGCCCCCTTTCTCCACCTCCCGTTTCCCCATTGCCCCCCGTGTCCCTCATTCTCCTGGCATCCCTGCTGCCCCCACATGCCCCCACCTCATCCCCCAGCCCCCATCTCCTGCCTCCATCCCTTGTTGTACTGACCCCCTGACCTTCCCCCATCCCCCATTCTGCTTGCACCTCCTGACCCCCTATTCCAAGGCAGTAGGGGAGCAGACAGGGCCCGTCCTCACCTGATACCCCCAGTGAGCAGGGCCTTCCACAGCTCCTGTCCAGCCCCCCTACCCTGAACCAGCCCTGCTGGGGGGCTGGGACAACCCCTCCCCGCCCCAGGGTGTCACCCACATCTGGAACAGCAGCACACACACCCCAGGCTTTCCCCATCTGTAGTGCCCCAGAGCAGGGGGAAGTCATGGCCATTCACCCCATAAGTGCAGAGAGGGAAACTGAGGCAGAGATAGCAGAAGGGCCTGGACCAAGGGGGAATAGAACCCAGGAGTCCTGAGCACCAGGCTTTAGGTGCTAATCCACGCTGCCCCCTGGATGGCAGCTAAAGGTGGCTCAGGGAGGGGCAACCCCACTGCCCACCCCTTGCCAGGGTGCTCACTCCCTCTCCTCATTTCTGCCCACATGAGGCACCCGTTGTCCGCCTTCCATGGGGCTAGAGGATCCTTCAGAGTCACCTGAACACCCACCCTGGCCCCAGCTCTGCTATGTGCCCCCGGGCAGAGCCCCACTCCCTGCCTCAGTTTCCCCATCTGTCAAATGGGCATCGCCAGCCCAGCCTCCTTTGTAAAGACCTGGGGGAACTTTGGGATGAACAGCCGGGGCTCTAGCCACTGGGCTACACCACCCTGCATCGGAGGGGGCAGATTCAGGAGGAACAGAAATCAGATGTTTAAGGGCTGAAGTCGGGCTCCCCTCAGAGCCTGGAATGGGTTGGTGAGATCACAGGGCCGGAGCAGGGGGGAATGACTGGGGGATGGATTGGTCCATTGATGGACTGATTGACAGGTCATACAGAAGCCATAGATTATAAACCGAAGGGGTTTATTGATTGATTGATTGATTGATTGATAACTCCCAGAGATTTCAGCCCCAAGGTGGTTCGTGAGGCAGGGTCTCGTCGGCAGGCTGGCTGGACGGACGGCTGGATGGATGGATTCACTGCTCACATCTGGAAAACAGCCATTCTCCAGCATTAGCTCTAGAAATCCAGTTTAGCAATTCCTCTCCCTTGTGTGGGGGCCAGTGGATTTGTGACTCCCCCTCATCCCCTCCGGATATGAGCGAATAACCCCGCAGAGAAGGAGACGCAGTTGAACCAAATCCAACAAGGCCCTTTGCAGGGTAAGAGAGAGCATTTGGGGAGTGAGATTTGGCCATCCATGATGGGAAAGTTCCTGCACGTTAATGCCCAAGAAAAAACCTACGAGGAAAAGAGCAAAATGTCCCTGCTCGAATACCAACCGTCCTGGGTCACGGAGCCACAGATCCAGAGCTCGGGGAGGCGCCTTCCTCTCTGTGTCCCTAGGGGAACCCGTGTGGCTTCTCCGCCTCCTTGGACTGAACCTGAGCCACCAGCTTCCCTGCTTCACCCTCTGAGTCCCTTCAGCGGGTCCCCCTGGGATGGGCACCTGAGGAAGACGTGTACCCCCACAGGGAGCCGTGTGCACCCCCAAATCCAGCCGCTGCAGTGACCCTCCGCCAGCAGGGTAAAGACTGTTGGGTTTCTCAGCTGGCTGGAGCACAGCATAGAACGTCCTTGGTTAACGCAGGGGCCAGAAAGTTACAGCCTGGTCTGTCTTCACCCCCTGTTGTCCCAGTTCAGGAGAGTCTCCATCTTCCAACTGTCCCACACGTAACAGCCCACACCTGGGCCCTCCTCAGTCCTTTGGTCTTCCCAGGCAAACCCGGCCGGCTTCCTGCAGGGGGATGGTACAGCCATGGTCCTTAGTTGCTTGGTACCAAATGTCTGGGCAATCGCGGTAGATGGCACATGATCTCAGTGATTCTGTGTCTGGGCATCGTCCGGCACAACGGGGCCCCGATCTTGGCGACTCTGTGTCTGGGCAGCGCCCAGCCTGACAGGGCCCCAATCTCAGTGATTCTGTGTCCGAGCAGCCCCCAGTGTGACGGGGCCCCGATCTCAGTGATTCTGTCTGGGCAGCGCCCAGCATGGTGGTGCCCCTATTTCAATGGCTTTGTGTCTGGACACTCCCCTGACACATATTCTCTCTCTCACACACACACACGCACACAGACACACACTTCTATTGTTGTTATTATTGTTTGGTACTTCCTTTCAAAATGCGCAATGCACATATATTCTCTGTAATTTTATTCTTTCAAAGTTTGTTAAGGATTACCATGCTGTTATTTTAGTGTTTTGACTGGTCTATGCATTCATAATTTAATTTCTCTCTTATGTTTAAATTTAATTCTTTCAGTAGAGAGTTCTAAAATGCCTAACTTGTCCTGGCTGGAGTAATTATCATTATTACTTTTATTGCCATATTGTGCTTTGTCATTTACTATTTAAAATGGTATAGTCATATAATAGTATCCTTCTAGAATGTAACTTTAGCTTGTATTCACCTTAGCAATTCCCGATTTAAAAAAATAGCTAAACAAACACATAACTTTAGACACTGTGCAGATGAAGGTCACTTATTTTCAAATTGGATTTTTAGTTATATCTGTAAAATAACTTAAAACTCATATGAAAATAAATGCAGTTCCAAGTACGATGGAGTCAAATGTGAGTGAGTCGTGTACATGATTGAGCTCAGTAAACATAAATGCCAAAATAATTAGAAAAATAAATTCTCTTTCTTAAAAAAAGAGAAAAAAAAACCTTAGTCACGTGTGTTAAAATAAAGTAAATACTTTTTTAGTGGAGTGAAAAACAATTGACTAAAATAGAGCAGATAATGGCAATAATACAGTGTGTCTGTTAGAGAAAGTAAGCAGATTTTATTTATTTTTATTTATCTCTACTAAAGATGGCGTACAAATAAACCCCTTTGTTTTTTACCAAATTTTTTTTACCAAAAAATTCCCGGGTTTTACAAAACGTGTTCAGTTTTCTCTGATTTTCACCCTATTTTTGTATCATTAAAATACATAAAAAATAACGTGTTTTACTAGGAAAATACAATCCATTGCATGAGAGAGCTATATTATGCGAAGACATTAGT